AAATTTATTTAAAAAAAAAAAGAAGGAAGGAAGGGAAGGAAAAAAGGAAAGAAAAGAAAGAAATCTATTACTATACCCAAGGAGTAGGCCTTCTTACACTACTTTTTAGTCTAAATCAATCCTAAAGGCTTTTTTCTTGTCTTCACGTTTTTTCACAAGTTGATTTTGAGGTTCCACCTTACTGATATTTTCTTAAGAGGTTTGTTCAAGGGTCTAAAAGTCATTGGTTTGGGACTGTTTTTCCATTTTTAGTAATCCCCTTTGCATTTTTCTATGCATATCTTTTTCACCTAATTTTTGAATGGATGATACTTAAAAGTACAAAAAGGAACACACTGAAAGTCTCCCTTCCACTCCAGCCAGTCATTCTCCCTTCCCACTGACAACAGCTTTATTTGTATCTTATAGATACTTCCATACATATTTTATGCATATACAAGCAAATACATTCTTTTCTTTCTTTACACAAATGACGGCATACTATATATGTGATTCTACTCCTTATACCTGCATTCAATAATACATGCTAGAAATTTATCCACAGCCATGTCAGGAGCTTTTAAATATTTTATGGCTGCATAGGACTTGTATAGACATAACAATTTATATAACTAGTCCTCAAACTGATTGACATTTAGGTTACTCCCAAGTTTTTTCAACTGCAAAAAATACTGCAAGGATTAATCCTGCACATTTATCTTTTACACTTGTGCAAAAATATCTGTAGTAAACATTCTCAAAATGGGCATTGCTAAGTCAAAGGGTACATGCATTTCTAATTTTGATGAGTAATGACAAACGCCCCTTTCTAGTGGCTGAACCAATTTACAATTCCATTAGCTGTGTATAAGCCCCCGTATCATCACAACCTTTCCCTTCACAGAATATTAACACACTTTTATTTACCTGTCAGTCTGATAAGTGAAATACGTATTTTATTTGCATTTCCTTTTATGAGGGAAGCTAAGCATCTATTCATTTTGATCTCCTTTTCTGTGAACTGCCTGTTCAGAATCTTTTGTCCATTTCCTATTGGTTTATTGATTTTTTTCTTAATTTGTTTTTAAAATCTAAACTGTCTATTTCCTGTATGGTCTTAATGATGAGATACTACATACTTCCTCAAATAAAATAATCTGAAAAGAATTGAAAGGAGGGACTCTAGCAGACATTTGCACACCCACGTTCACAGCAGGATTATTCGTAACAGCCAAAAGGTGGGAACAACTCAAATGTCCGTTGATGGATGAATGGATAAACCAAATGCAGTATATACACACAATGGATCATTCAGCCTTAAAAATGAAGGGAATTCTGCCTCATGATATGTGAATGAATCTCAAAAATATTATGCTAAGTGAAATAAGCCAGTCACAAAAGGACAAATATTGGGGAATTCCCTGGTGGCCCAGTGGTTAGGACTCCACGCTTTCAATGCCAAGGGCCCAGGTTCAATCCCCAGTCGGGGAACTAAGATCCCACAAGCCACCTGGCATGGCTCAAAAAAAGAAAAGGACAAATATTGTATGATTCCACTTAAAAGAGGGACCTAGAATAGTCAACTTCAGAGAGAAAGCAGAATGGTGGCTGCCAGTGGCTGCAGCGAGGGGGAAATAAGGAGTTGTTTAATGGTTTTGCAATTTTCAGTTTTGCAAAATTAAGAGAGCTCTGGAGACAGATGGTGCTGATGGTTGACCAATAATATGAATGTACTTAACACTACTAAACTGTACATTTAAAAATGGTTAAGATGGTATATTTTGGACTTCCCTGGTAGCGCAGTGGATAAGACTCCGCACTCCCAATGCAGGGGGCCCAGGTTCAATCTCTGGTCAGGGAACTAGATCCCACATGCATGCCACAACTAAGACCCAGAGCAACCAAAACAAAAAACAAACCAAAAAAAAGATGGTTTTATATTATCTGTATTTTACTACAATTTAAAAAATAATTTGAAATTTAATTCCCCAAATTTTAGGTTTCATATAACTTCGATTCAGCTTTAACTGGGACACTAAATCTTAAAAGTATGGTAATTCTCCATTTTTCAAAATATACTTTCCTGATACCCAAGGAAGCAGTTTGATTATATTCAACATTTTAATTGTTTAGGGAGACTCTCAAAAATACTAGAGTTTCGGGATTCCCTGGTGGCGCAGTGGTTAAGAATCCACCTGCCAATGCAGGGGACCGGGTTTGAGCCCTGGGCCAGGAAGATCCCACATGCTGCGGAGCAACTAAGCCTGTGCACGACAACTACTGAGCCTGTGCTCTAGATCCTGGGAGCCACAACTACTGAGCCCCTGTGCCACAACTACTGAAGCCCGCATGCCTAGAGCCTGTGCTCTGAAACAAAAGACGCCACCACAATGAGAAACATGTGACTGCAACGAAGAGTAGCCTCCACTCGCCGCAACTAGAGAAAGCCCGCGTGCAGCAACGAAGACCCAACACAGCCAAAAATAAATAAATTAATTTAAAAAAAATAGTAGTTTCTTTTCCCACAACATTTCAGGATCTTCTACTTCACCTGTTTCTTCCTCCTTGTTAATGAGATTTCAAACCAAAGTAATCTTTTCTCTCATTTTGTTTCTTCCAAGGAATTTAAATGGTCAGGAAAAAAAAAATCAGATCTTGTCCCTAGAAAGGAATGGGCCTCTAGCAGAACTTAAGATAGTTGAAATCTTCGATCACAACTCTTATTTTTGTGCCACTTTTTTGTTTGTTTTAATATTTGTTTATTAGCACAGTAACAAATGCACACTTAAGTAGTCGACGACACAGAACCAATCCAGTGAGCAACTCCTATTCCACGCCTTACAGTTAACAGCTTAAGGTATTTTACTACAGGTTTTCACAAGTCCTGATTCAAACCTCTATCTTTTCACAATAAAGCAGGTTTGCATATAAAATAAAATACATTAATACTCATTTCCTATATGGTGTCTTATAGCCACGTGTCCATTTTAATATATGAGATGAGAGTCTCTAAAAGCGGTTAAGTAGTGGGACTTCCCTGGCGGTCCGGTGGTTAATACTCTGCACTTCCACTGCAGGGGGCACAGGTTCGACCCCTGGTCAGGGAACTAAGATCCCACATGCCGCACAGAGCTGGCCAAAAAAAAGCTGTTAAATATCAATATTCCCTTCCAAGAAGGGAAAACTAGTTCCAATTTTTTAAAATAACTGTGTAGTCTTAGAAAGACTTTACGTAAAAGGTCATGTGGGTAACCTATACAAAATTAAGCTGTTTTAAATTTACAGACAAGAAACTGAACCCAAATGTCTATCTTCTCTGTACTGCATTTCAGCTAATATTGCAGAACTAATGATAGTTTTAATAGTTGTTATTACCAATTCTATCTGCTGTAGCAAGATACCTTAAATTACAACAAAATCTTAGGAAATAACACTGAATAATATGTTATAGAAATACTCTACTCTTTACCAACTCCCACCCTCCCCCACCCCTTCAAAATCATAAGCAGCTCTGTGACAGACAAATAACGTAGAGTTGTGAAAACCGGGACTTCCCTCATGGTCCAGTGGGTAAGACTCTATACTCCCAATGCAGGGGACCCCAGTTCAAGCCCTGGTCAGGGAACTACATCCTGCATGCATGCCACAACTAAAAGTTCGCATGCCACAACTATGAAGTCTGCATGCTGCAACTAAAAGATCCTGCATGTCACAACTAAGAGTCCACATGCTGCAACTAAAGATCCTGCATGCCGCAACAAAGATCCTAAGTGCCGCAAGTAAGACCCAGCACAGCCTAAATAAATAAATAAATATTTTTTTAAAAAAGAGTTGTGAAAACCCAATTTATGTAGTGTATCTCTTGGCCCACTGTCTGGCCATTCTGTCATGTTCTGCTCTGTTGGTCATATACTGAGAGGCAATACTTCCCACCAAGGGGTCGGCAGGATTACAGTCTGTAAGAAGTGAGCAGATAGAAACGACTTCAGAAACAGCTAGTGCTGGACTCCAATTATCTTTCAATATGTCCAAGCAAATAACTCCTTGGCTGTTAATATTACAGTTCTGTGCCACTTTTGTAATCTGCACTAGGGGAGCAACAACCTTATTCTCCTTCTTACCAAATGATCTATAGCATGATCCATAGATCTCTTCTACTTTTTTCTCCTTTTGTCATTCATGTTTTCCACTCTAATGCCAAAACTCTTGGCTCCCAACAAGTATATGTATATTCCTGATAACCACTATCATTCTCACAAATCTTACACTGGATTGTTTTGAACAAAGACATATATTTCCATTCAAATAATGAGCCTATCCCAGCAAATTTTAGTGATATTCACAGTACTGCATATATCTTCCTAGGAAGGATCACTGAAATCACAAGTTCAGTTACTGTGCTTTTGCCACAATATCTCTTCCTAAATAAAAATTTGGGGCTATTTCTTCCAGGGCTTTCATTATCTATCACACTCTCTCTTCCCAACAGCATCTAATTCAATGTTTCATGGGCAACTTTTTCCCTCTCCATAAAATGTTAGCATCCATTCTTCTCAATCAAGTTTTCTTCATTCTTATTGAAAACTATTTTTCCCAGTGCCTCTGAGAGGCAGAATGAAGTTGATCATTATCTGAGAAGACAAGAAAGGAGAAGAGAGGTCAGGATCTGAGTTACTATACATGTTTATTAGGAATAAAATGTGGGAGGGAATATATCTCAGTGGTTAAGCCATGACCATCAGAAATTCAGATTGGAGGGGGGTCAAGGTTAATTATCTGGCTTCAGTGGATTCAAGAAAGCACAGATGACTCTCCCCCAAAGTGGGGAGAGCACAATAACAGACAGTCCAGGTGGATGATTCTCAGAAACCCTAAGCCTGTCTCCAGGAAGGCTGGTCAAAGAAACATAATACAAGTCATGAGACAGGGGATCAGAGGCAACTAATAAGAGCAAAGTGGGACCAGGAAGTTGGAGTGCTAGGCTGATTACCCATACAGAGCCTAAGCAAGGTGTTCTTTACCTGAGGTCCATAGACTCTCAAGGTATCTCCAAACTGAAGATTTTTCACTAACTTCTAACTGAAATTTAGCATTTCCTAAATTATAAAAATAAGAAAAAAAAATCAGGTGGATTAGCAGCACCGGTGATCAGAATTATTTATGTAACACTACAGCCATTACAGATATCTCAAAATAAATGTTACATTCATCACCACTTCAAAATTACAATATTTATTAGACCTGCCACTAGACTGTTAACATATTAATAAAGAAACACACACCATTTAAAAAAAAAAAAAAAAAGGGACTTCCCTGGTAGTCCAATGGTTAAGACTCCGTGCTTCCACTGCAGGGGCATGGGTTCAATCCCTGCTTGGGGAACTAAGATCCTGCATGCCATGCAGTGTGGCCAGAAAAAAAAAAAAGAGAAAAGAAAAAGAAACACACATATTATTATATTACAATTTTAAAAGTATTTTGTTAACTTTATTCCATGTAAATGATTTCATTTGAAATCCTGTTTTTCTGTATTTGAAAACATTCTAAGGAGTTCACAGGCTTCATTAGACTGCTAAGAGGTCTCTATTCTAAATAAAGAATCAATTAAGAAAATTGGAGGACATGAGAGGAATTTAGTGGTGAGTCTCCAGCATCAATAACAAAGCATATGATTGAAAATAAATTACAGCACTGTACAAAGTACTTTCATTTTCCTTATCTTAACTGCACAATATTTATTCAAAATTTTAATAATTTCTCAAATATAACTGTGGGGTATTTTTAAGGGTAAGATTATTTTCTTTTCATAAATTTATTTACTTTATTTCTGGCTGCATTTGGTCTTCGTTGCTGTGCGTGGGCTTTCTCTAGTTGCAGCGCGTGGGCTTTCTCTAGTTGCAGCGAGCGGGGGCTACTCTTCGTTGCGGTGCACGGGCTTCTCATTGCAGTGGCTTCTCTTGTTGTGGAGCACGGGCTCTAGGTGCGCAGGCTTCAGTAGTCGTGGCTCATGGGCTCTAGTGCGCAGGCTCAGTAGTTGTGGCGCACGGGCTTTGCTGCTCCGTGGCATGTAGGATCTTCCAGGACCAGGGCTTGAACCCATGGACCCTGTATTGTCAGGCAGATTCTTAACCACTGTGCCACCAGCAAAGCCCCTACTGTGTTATTTTTTAAGAGTGGAAGAATCTTAACTTGGGAAAGGCAAGTAAACAAAGAGCAAGAGTTGCCCCTATGCTGCCAAAATGGTTCTATTTTCTGCGCCTTTCAGCCCAGCATCATCCCCTTTTGGGAAGTGCACTTTCTCTGTCTAGTGGGCTACCATTCCCCCACTACAGGAGTAGACACATGACCCAGGATGGCCAGTGTGATGACCCTTCAACCCCGTTTCCTTACATACAGCAAGTGGTCCATGTGTGGAGATCCTAACCCAAACAGAGCCAATCTTTCAGGAAATGACAATGAAAAAAATTAATAAACAGAAACCTCAGTTAAATACTCAGGAGACCAGAAAGGGGGAGCTCTCATGCCCTGCAACCCTAGCAGAGCCCAAAAGGAGGAAAGACTCCTTTTCCTGAAAGTCCACAGCCAAGGGAAAACCATGGACATTTTGTTTACTTAGCCCTCCCAACTTCCTTTTCTCTCTAGAAAAGCCTTCTCCTTCCCTTGCCATGTGGAGACTTGCATGTGGCCCAACATGGCTGTAAACCTGAACTGCAATTCTCTGCTGATCCCAAATAAACCCATCTTTGCTGGAGAGATAACTGGCAGTCCACTTGTTTTAGGTCAACAACATGGACCCTTGAAGAGAGGTCTTTCTCTTTCCCAAAATCTTAAAACAAAAGGACTACTTAAACCTAGAATAGCTGAGGAACACCTCTGCCACTATGTGTGTTTTTTATTTTCAGAAAAAACTTGTCAAGGCCAAATAGAAAAGCAGAGTTAACCCAGCTATGCCTAAAGCCTTTCATTAGCCCAATTAATTGAACCATGAAATTCCTGCTTTTGTTTACATCAGTTTGACCTGGGATTCTTTCTCCTGCAACTGAAAGAATTCTGAAAAATAAGTAAGAATTTAGGTCATTTTTGTTCCTATTTAATGTTATATGGACATTATATGCAGCCAGTGGTCTGGAGAGAAATTCTACCTCTCCAGCTACATGCTAGCTATGGGAGACTGGACAACTTAACCTGTGTCTACATTTCCCCATCTGTAAAATGTAGATAATATTAAGACCACAGGGCTGTTGTAGGAATTAAATGAGTTACTATTCATAGAATTGTTCAACATATAGTGAATATGTTAGTCATTTAAGATCACAACTCCCCATTTTTTATGTTGTTTTATTGTGGTAAAAATCACATAACATAAAACATACTACTTTAACCATATTTAACTGTACATTTCAGTGGCACTAGGTACATTCACACTGTTGTGCAACTCTCATCATCGTCCACCTCCCGAATTCTTCACCTTCCCAACTGAAACTCTATCCCCATTAAACACTAACCCCCATTTCCCCTCCCCACCCCCGGCCTCTGGCATCTACCAATGCACTTTCTGAGTCTATGAATTTGACTATTCTAGGTACCTTGTATAAGTGGTCAGATTCTATATTTAAATAAAGGAAAAAATTCCACAAATCAAAAGAAATACAAGTTCAAAATAACAGTAGCTGAGGCTGAAAACAAGATGGCGGGGTAAATGAATCTGAACCCACCTCGTCTCATGAAAACACCAAAATGACAACTAACTGCTGAACAACCACTGACAAAAAAAGACTTGAACCTAACAAACAAGATACTCTACACCCAAATACAAAGAAGAAGCCACAATGAGACAGTAGGAGGGGCACTTTCAAAATATAATCAAAATCCCATCCTGCTGGGTGGGCGACCCACAGACTGGAAAATAATATATCACAGAGGTTCTCCTACAGGAGTGAGAGTTCTGAACCCCATGTCAGGCTCTCTAGCCTGGGGGTCGGGCATCAAGAGGAGGAGACCCCAGAGCATTTTGCTTTGAAGGCTAGAGGGGCTTTAGTGCAGGAGCTCCACAGGACTGGGGAAAACAGACTCCACTCTTGTAAGGCACATACAAGTTTTCACATGCACTGGGACCCAGGGCAAAGCAGTGACTCCAGAGAAGCTTAGGCCAGACCTGCCTCTGGGTCTTGCAGGGTCTCCTGGGGAGGCGAGGGCACTGTGGGGGCAAGGGCACTGGCCACTGATGCCCAGGGAATACTCACCAGCCAGCATGAGCTCTCCCAGAGGCTGCCGTTTTCGCCCTGAGACCTGGCCCCACCCATAAGTCTGCAGGCTCCATTGCTGGGACACCTCAGGACAAACAACCAACAATGTGGGAACACAGCCCCACACATCAGCACACAGGCTGCCTAAAGGTGACCTGAGCCAACAGCCACCTATCAACACACTACTTGAGACGGCCCTACCCACCGCAGGGTCAAGACCCAGCTCCACCCACCACTGGGCAAGCACAAGTCCCTCCCACCAGGAAGCCTGCACAAGTCCCTGGACCAACTTCACCCACAAGGAGGCAGACACCAGAACCAAGAAGAATTATGATCCTGAAGCCTGAGGAACAGAGACAACAAACACAGAAAGGCAGACAAAATGAGAGAGCAGAGAAATACGTTCCAGACGAAGGAACAAGATAAAACCCCAGAAGAACAACTAAGTGAAGAGGAGAAAGGCAACCTACATGAAAAAGAATTCAGAGTACTGATAGTAAAGATGATCCAAGATCTTGGAAAAGGACTGCAGGCACAGACTGAGAGGATACAAGAAATGTTTAATAAAGAGTTAAAAACTTTAAAAAACAAACAGAGATGAACAGTAAAATAAACGAAATGAAAAATACACCAGAGAGAATCAATAGCAGAAAAAAAGAGACAGAAGAACAAGTAAGTGACCTGGAAGACAGATCACTGGAAATCACTGACATGGAAGAGAATAAAGAAAAAAGAATGAGGGACTCCCTTGGTGGTCCAGTGGTTAAGACTCCATGCTCCCAATGCAGGGGGCCCAGGTTCCATCCCTGGTCAGGGAACTAGATCCTGCATGCTGCAATGAAGAGCTGGCATGCCACAACTAAAGACCCCGCATGCAGCAATGAAGATCTCATGTGCTGCAACTGAAATAAAAAAAACACTCCACATGCCACAACTAAAAAGATCCCTCATGCCACAACAAAGATCCCACGTGCTGCAACTAAGAACCCGCATGCCGCAACTAAGACCCAGTGCAGCCAAATAAATAAATAAATATTTTTTAAAAAAAGAAAAGGAAAAAGAATGAAAAGAAATGAGGACAGTCTAAGAGACCTCTAGGACAACATTAAATGCACCAACATTTGCATCATAGGGGTCCCAGGAGGAGAAGAGAGACAGAAAGGGCCTGAGAAAATATTTGAAGAGGTAATAGCTGAAAAATTCCCTAATGTGGGAAAGGAAACATTCACTCAAGTCCAGGAAACATGAAGAGTCCCATACAGGATTAACCCAAGGAGGAACACACTGAAACACGTATTAATCAAATTAACAAAAATTAAAGACAAAGAGAAAATATTAAAAGCAACAACAGAAAAACAACAAATAACATACAGGGGAATCCCTGTAAGGTTACCAGCTGATTTTTCAGCAGAAACTCTGCAGGCCAGAAGGGAGTTGCACAATATATTTAAAGTGATAAAAGGGAAAAACCTACAACCAAGAATAGTCTACCCAGCAAGGCTCTTGTTCAGGTTTGACAGAGAAATCAAAAGCTTTACAGATAAGCAAAAGCTAGAGAATTCAGCACAACCAAACCAGCTTTACAACCAACACTAAAGGAACTTCTCCAGAAGGAAAACAAAATGCAACAACCAGAAACAAGAAAATTACAAATAGGAAAGTTCACTGGTAAAAGCAAAACTACAGAAAAGGTAGGAAATCATCCACACACAAACATGATATCAAAACCAGCAGCAGTGAGAAAAGAAGAGTACAAATGCAGAATACTGGAAACACATTTGAAATTAAGAGACCCACAACTTAAAACAATCTTCTATATGTATAGACTGCTATATCAAAATCTCATGGTGGGAATTCACTGGTGGTCCAGCAGTTAGTACTATGCGCTTCCACTGCAGAGGGCCCAGGTTTGATCCCTGGTCAGGGAACTAACATCCCACAAGCCATGCGGCATGGCCAA